CCCCAAAAAAAAAAAAAAAAATTTCCAAACGAAGACGCTCGCACAGAGCAGCTGGAAAGCTGCGGATTATTTTATTTTAATAAACCGACAAAAGTTGAAAGGAGAATTTTACTGCCCAATACATCGATCCTCTCTTATCAGAATGAACCGATGAAAAAAAAAGCTTTTGCAAGGGCTTTGAATTTGTCGATTTTCATCAGAAACCTATCAAAAACAGGTAAAAACGGCCATTCTCACCAAACACCCACATCTTTTTATTACTGTCTGGCCACCCCAGTATAAATACGATAGTGTCAAATGCACACATACCAAAGCTGTAGTGTTATCTGCGGCGGACGACCATGTTGTAACAGTGCCGTCATATTGTGCCGCAATGAGGCGATACTGTTGCCCTGGCCCCGGCTGATACCACTTGCAATCTACCACTGCCTCCTCGTTGTCTAGCAGGACGTGTCGCAGTGTTCCAGTAGCAAAATCGTAAATAGCAAAACGTCCAAAATTCGTGCCAACAGCAAACCATCGCATATCGCCCGGATGAAACCTCACGCACTCAATCGAGCCGCAGCCGTGCTGGAAAACAAAACAATTGCGTCGGATAAAGGCACAGTTCCCTGGAAATCCACTTTTTATAAAAGAGAAAATTACACTCTGGTAGCCCCAAAGGAAGCATTTGAGCCCTTTTTGGAAAAAGCTCCATCTTAGCCTCTTTTATCTGAAATTCCCGTGGATAAAGCCCCTTTTGGTAATAATGCCCGTGGGTAAAGCCCCTTTTGCGAATCAGTACGGATCAGCAGGGAATCGAATTACTCCTTTTTAATCACACAGCACAGCGTGGGAGACCATTTCACCAGTGATTTTTGTGCCACAAATACTTAGCACTTATAATCTTATGTGTAGTACTAGCGGCTTAAAAGATTTCGTTAAGTTATGTTAAGCAAAATCTAATTTCGGTATAAATCACTTGTCATAATCGTCTGGCTGCTGCACACTGTGCGACATTTCCTTACATCTTTCATAAACATATACCAAATAAAATTAAAATGCCCTCCAACAACTGTCGGTTTTTCGAGGAAAAGATAATAGAAAGTGACTTTTGGGGAGTAACAGTCAAGGGGCAAATTCAGGAATAGATCACGATTAAATAAGGTAACAATCGAGGGGTGAAATGAATAAAAGACCAAAGATTAAATAAATGAAAAATGGGCCAAAATTAGAAAAAAAATTGAAGAATGGGCCAAAATCAAGTAAATAAAGAATAAGGCAAAGTTAAAAACACGCAAATATTAAATGAAAAGAATTTTTTACTCAAGAAATTTATGAAAAATATTTACGAAAATTTCTACAGAATGGGCCAGAATCAATTAAATAAATAAGCCAAAGTTAAAAGTACGTAAATATTAAGTGAGAAGAGCTTTTTACTCAACAAATTTATGAAAAATATTTACGAAAATTGCTATAAAAAGTAGAATGGCTTACTTCGCTTCCTTCATGTACGTTGAAAACTTTCAGTACTTTGGCTGTATCGGTGCTCACAAGAAAGCAATGTCCAGCTGTATCACCAACAATGGCCAGAGATAAACTGTGGTGAGTATCCAGGCGAGTGGCATCTTGAGCTCCGGTCGTTATGCTCATCGATTTTTCATCTTTCAGGGACCAGATTCGTACTGAGCCATCCTCATAGCATGAAATCAGTCGTCGTCCATCATTTAACAAACTGCCATCAGTTGATCTGGCCACTGAGCCACAAAAGTAGGTCTAGAAAACACGAAAATTTTACCATCACAAAACACAAACTGGACAATCTAAGTAATTTTTTCACTTTTTCCGAGAAAAGCTTAGCCCATTTTGTCAAATTTTCAAGTTACTTCAACATATTCTGCCCATCCAATCTTAGGTTAGATCAAGTGAAAACACATGCCTTATCATTTACATCATATATCCAGGAGGGGAAACTAGTACCACACGTACCTTTGTCTGCTGTACACCATCAAGCGTTATGAGCCACATCCATATGCCATTTCGGCCACCAGCAAGGAGAATATCAGCCGAAAAGTGCCATTTCATCCAGGATAACTCTTCACAGTCTTCAATCTACAAGCATATCCTGAACAAGAAAAAAAAGCACCGAATCGCAAAAGGTTGTGCCCTACAAAAGCGCCTGTATCATTGGTGAATTTACAGAAGCTTTCAGGAGAAGCCAGGAAAAGCTGCTACGAAAATCTCAAAAAATAACCTCAAAAACAGTCTCGGGCCAGTTTCAAGAACAACCACGCAGTTGTGGGTTTTATCTAATTCATAACTTTTCAGAACTCAAATTTTTGAAAAAATTAAATCTAATTTCATCGGCACCGCTCATTAAAAGCGATTTTTTACAAATCTGTCCACTCACCGTGTAGCATTTCTTTGGCTGCACTGGATCGCTAACAATAATCAGGCCAGACATATCACCTGTCGCTAGCAGCCGACCTCGGCCATTGAACTCGGCACAAATTACGCTATCTTTATGGCCATCAATCGTAAGTATTGGTTCCGAAACTGTAAAACTTGTAGAAGTGTAGCGGAACAAAATCAAACTACTATACAATGCGATACGGTAAGGTTATTTATCACATAGTACAACACGTTTACGGAAGAAAGATTTGGAAGAAAACCGTTCGAAATAAGAGATGTTTTAAAAAGATTTTTCGCATATTTTCTCGATTTTTCGTGAAGAAAAATCTTGTTTTTTTCTTGTTTTTTTTTCGAGATCTTGTTTTTTTTCGTGGAGAAAAATTTAAAAAAAAAATTACTTTTCTGGCAAAATTTTAACGGGATAAAAAATAATGTTACTAAAAAACAGGTGAAACTCAATTCTATTAGAATTTTGATGAAAATGCAAAAAAATAAATTTTTCAATGTTTTTCACCTTTCCATTTCAGTAGTTGACTTATTTTCATAGTATTAACAGACGCTAACTGAATATATGCAGCTTCGAATCAAAGGGCTTGGCGCATCTGCGCCGCCCGGTGGGTGGCTGCATCCTAACGAAACCCTAACATGAGATCCCCCTATCAACTGGTGTAGAAAACCTGAGAAAATCCGGCAATAAAGAAGCCACCACCAAAAAAAAAGAAATCTGCCTACGAGAAGGCAAAGAAGGAAAGGTGTATGCTGCCTTAAAAAGAAATACACTGCACAAGTGTTTAGAGACTTTTTATAGGCACAAGGACCAGTGGTGCAGTGGTTTAGCATGTTACGATCGGATGTGAAGGCAAGTGGTTCGATGCCCTCCTGATCAATAACTGTTTGCAAATGAGAGCTCAATCGATGAAGTGATTGTCAATGTAGCCTTGGTATCTACATACAATATGAATAACTCAGAATTTTCCGCTGATACTCCTTCTAATTCATTAAAAAGAAATTCGAATTCACTTTTATTAGAAAATTTAAACCTTTGAATTTAAATATTTCGAATCTGTCCACTAAAAATTGGTTCCAGAATAATCATTATAATAAGAAAAAATCACGATTATCAAGCCTGTAGAGAACAGCCTGATCATTTTTTCCACCAACAACCAGCCAGTTGCGAAAACACGTTACTGTATATACCTCGTCGTTGCACGCCCTCACTAGCTGCGATTCCGAAAGCACTTCACCCGCTTCTTCGTCACCGTCATCGTCATCAGAATCTGGATAATTTCATAGCATTTATTTTTCGGAATATTTTGATCAAGTGTAATTCGTAGAATGGTCTTCTAGCCGTACGTAATTGGTGACTTTCTCAGTTGGTTTAACCAGTGCTTCACTGCTGATGGTCAACTTGTTGGCGCTCCTAACGTTCGTTTCGTTTCCTACAGGAACTATCAGCTTAACGGAACTCCTGACAAAATCATAGGACCAGTCAGCCGCTTCAGAATGTCCCCGGTAAATTATCATAATTTACTACATTTTACTACATTAGCAATTTTAATTGTTTTTTTTTATTATTTTTATACTATTTTACCCCGCTTCTATTCTGCGTACATGTATATGTGTGAGTGTATGCGGCAGTGTGTTAAAAAGTATTCGATGTCTCTACTTGCTCTACTTCATCTACTCCTGTATTTTCCTTAGCCCGACTTACCAAGATTCATACACGTCATCCGCGACGGCAGATACGTCTGTGCCCTCCTTTTCTTTTCTTTTTTTTTACATTTTCTTGTAATTTTCTTTTTCCCCATATATTTCCCCTTTTTCTTCCTATTATTTCTTCTGATTTACATCTTTTTATCTTAATTAATTTAAACACCTTAGCAAATTATTTTGTTACCACAATCGTCGTACTGACGAGCTTCAACTGTGGTAGCGGTAAGAAATGCATACGAATTAATGGACCGAAACATTTCTTACCTATGACAAATATTTCTTTAGACCCCTTACTTATTTTAATATTCTTTTCCTCCTTTTCACTGTCTCCTGATATTTTCCTTTTAACCTTTAATATGATGGAACATCAATACCAGAGCGGCGTAGGAATATTATCTGGTCAGTACATACCAGGAACAGGCGAGCTGCTGATGTAGCGAGAATGAAAGACAACAGATAAGTACAGATTATCGAACGGTACTCTTACAATTTTAAAAGAATACGAAAAAGGTCGCCAACACGGTGAAAGGATCCGCTTGAACAACTATATAACATTACACAGACAAGACAGTTTCAAAATGGAGAAGAATGGAGAAGTTGTCAACCGCAACAGTAGCGAGAGGAAATGCAACGATAAAACAACAGCTAATCAATGCGGGAATTGGTAAAAACCGGCTCGGCCATGCAAATTGCACTCGTTTACAGGTCCGGACGCGAACTGCGAAAAACATAACTCAAAACAAGCACCAATTCTTCTTTTCGGGTGAGATTTTAAAGTGCAAGCACAAATTCACTAGCTTTTTCTTGGTTCCTAATCTTTGGCTTATCATTATAAACCCATATAACTCCCGCTTTTCTCGTAACCCCGTTCCGTTCCCAATTTCTGCCTCTAAGCAAAATCTCAGCTCCTTTCCAATCTATGCCTTCGACCCCTTTCTTTCCGCCGTGGCTTCTCCGGGACTTAAAATAGCGCTTCAGTCCCTCCCCTCCCACTCGCCCCACTCTGTCACCCCTTCTTCAAAACCTTCCCTCCCCTTCCTCCAGCGGAGCCGAGTTTAAGTAGTTGCCAGTGAAGTAGAAAGGGCAGTACGGGCCGTAAAGGCCCCATGCGCATCATATCTAAGAAAAAGCTATAAAAAGCCTGTAAACAGCACTGCGAACAACGGCCAGTACAGTCAGGGGAGTGAAATTGGAAGACCAGTACGGGCAGTACAGGCTCTATCAAGATTATCATATTAATAAAGACTATGAACAGCTCGTTTGGAGGGCTGCGAACAGCAGCAGCAACAGCAATAAAATCGGGGTCACAAAATAAAATATAAAAAAAAAAATGAACAAATAGAAAACGGTCCACAGCCAAAGTCAACAAATAGATATGTAAAAAAGCAAAATATGACAGGTAAGAAGATTGCAGATCATGTGTTTACACAAAATACAATGATTGCATGAAAATCGTGATACCTTGAAAATTGCATAAAAATCGTGATACCTTAAATCGTGATACCTTGAAAATTGCATAAAAATCGTGATAATACCTTGCATTTCTTCATCTCCGCTAATCTCTTGTGGTGCTTGTGAATGGCCAAGCGAGTTATCGTCGTCCAGTGGAATAACACGTACAATGTCATCCTCGTCGCCGAGCAATGCGTCATCATCCTCGGCTTCGCCCATCATCTCGTACTCCTCCATCGGATCATCCCCTCCCCCGGCCAATCCATCGCCAAGGTCGCCCGCCATCTGACCCCTTCTGATCCCCCAGATGAGCCCCCGACGTCCTAACTATAAGGCCTCCCGGGCTGGGAATAAAGGACGAAGCAGCACGGGGTAGTAACACTTACGCGATTTTGCAACATTTGCACATCGATTCAGTGCCCATACCGAAAATTGCGATGGAATATACGGCTGAGGAGGGGCCGCGGATCCATGATCACTCGAAAAGTGCATGGGGGTAGGAGAGATTCCAGAGAAAAAAAGATGAGCCCTTTTCTGGATCCTCCCCAGAAAGGATACTGTATGTTCAATGTCGCTTCTGACGGAGGCAGTTACAAGAACTTGTTTCGATTGG